GTCATGTGACTCAGTGGTTCAGCATAGGTCATCACTGACTAACTGCAGTTACACTGAATGACCCGAGGGTGGCGCTGCTCTCCAAAAACACTGACTGACAGCTGGTGTTTCTGTTTCAGTGTTATTTCTTCACCATCGAGTTTGGACTCTGCAAACAGGATGGTCAGCTCAGAGCTTATGGAGCGGGATTACTGTCATCCATCGGAGAGCTCAGGGTAGGACGCACACACACATACATGCACACACATACGTCCAAAGTATCTTCAAAATTAAAATCATATACATAAAATATATTGATACATGTACCATTGATTAAGATCCAGAAACAACTGTATATCAGTGTGTTTTTAGCCTTGATTTAAAGGAATTCAGCTGTGTTGCAGTTTTCTGTAAGTTTATTCAAGATTTATGGTGCACTGAAGCTAAGTTCTGCTTCAAAATGCTTGGTTCTGGTTCTGAGGATGCAGAGCAGACCAGAATCAACAAACTGTTAGCAGTAGTTTGGTGAAAAAAATGACTCTCTTATGGTTTATATTTATTTTAATCCACACACTTATTCCACACACGTATTATTCATAATATTTTAAATAAAAATATTTGATCAAAAATATATATTAATTTCTGTATATTTTTAGGTACCACATACACCTTTTGTCCAATGTAAGGTTGGACAAAAGGTTGGGTTTAGGCATCCAACTAACCTTTATAAAATATTCAGTCTTATAGCACAGAGTAATCATATTTCCAACTCATCCCCAGTGTAAGAGTTGGCAATTTACACACAATTCATGTGTGAAACAGCGACGTGAATTAGAAAGACATTATAGTAATTAGCAGTACCTTCTGGCAGACCTTAGCAGGTTCCGGGAGACAACCAATCAGAATAAGAGCTTGTGTGAATATTCATGAGGTCCTGCTATTACACAAACCTGCTATAGGGGGCACTGTGGTGATACACAGATTACACACAAAATCAGATTTATGTGTATTAAACGGATATCTCGGGTTTTTTTGCATTTTGGGGGTTATTGGACCAATAGAAAACTTTCTGCGCTTTTAGATTTTTGTCAAAATTAGCAGGACACCGCTCCTGTCGTGTTAATTCAAAATGTCCTGCTAGTGCTGTGTGTATTCTGTCGAAATGTCCTGCTAAACCACATGTACTAACACACACACACACACACACACACACACACACGCACGTTTGCGTGGCTATCTTTGTGGGGACTTTCCATTGACTTCCATTCATTTCTACAGCCTAAACCTTAACTTTACCCTTTTCCCAACCCTACCCATCACATACCTAACCCTAACCAAAACTCAATTCACACCTTAGTCCTAACTCTGACCCCTGACCCCAAAACAGGGTTTCCCCTTGTGGGGACCAGGCTTCGGTCCCTACAAGGAGCAATTGGTCCCCACAATGTAGTATGTATCAGGAAAATCATCCCCACAAGGTATTACAAACAAACGCGCACACACCCGCGCACACAGACACACACACACACACACACACACACACGCACATTGTAAACAGGTTTAGGATTGTGACTTTGTGCTGCAGAAAACTGCATCCATTTTATAATATGTGGAGTTCCTCTGGGTTCTGTTCTTGGATCTCTTCTTTTCTTTTATATTAAAAAAGTTGGGAACCTATTAATGGTTAGATAATTGATCAGACTGTTTTTTCCCAGCATGCTCTGTCTGATAAAGCCTGTGTGAAGATGTTTGACCCAAAGACCACCTGCAACCAGGAGTGTCTAATCACCACCTTCCAGGATGTTTATTTTGTCTCTGAGAGTTTCGAGGAGGCCAAGGAAAAGATGAGGTAAACAACAAAACACACAAACAAGTAGAAAACACACTGATGAAAACGCTGGAGGAGTTGAGCATTGACTAACAAAAAACATAAAAACTGCAAAAAAACATAAAATCTTAACATGAGAAACATCTCTTGTTTTAAGTGAAATAATCTGTCAGTGGAACAATTACTATTTTTTTAAAATCAATATTAAGGAATTATTTACTTAAGACAAGCTCCTATATCTCGCTGAAAAGTTACTTGTAAGTTAGTTTGATCTTATTTCAAGTGAACTTAGATATTTCTAGAAACTAGACCAAAAATACTTGGTAAGATTTTATGTTTTTGCAGTGTACACTATGAGACATAACTAAAACATCTAGTTTTAATTTCACCATAAAGAAATCCTTCACTCCAAAACCAACCAGAGTTAAGCTAATGATACCATTGTGATTCTGATGGTGTTTCTTTCAAATCTTTTTTATTTTGCTCTGAAACTGTAAAACCTGACTGTTGATTCAGGAGCAAAAATATTCCAGACGTGTCCGGTTTTTTTTTATCTTGCAGAGAATTCGCCAAATCCATAAAGAGGCCGTTCTCTGTGTACTACAACCCATATACGCAGAGCGTGGATCTGCTAAAAGACACGCGCAGCATCGAGAACGTGGTGCAGGACCTGCGCAGCGACCTCACCACGGTCTGCGACGCCCTCGGCAAGATGAACACCTACCTGGGCATCTAAGGCCGATGCAAACCCTACCACACTGCAGAAATACTAAATATTACCAAGTATTTTTGATCTGGTTTCTAGTTCAAATATCTTAGTACACTTGAAATAAGGCAAAATGAACTTATAAGTTACTTTTCAGCAAGATATAGAAGCCTGTATTTAATATTTGCACTGATAAATTGGCTCAGATTTCCTTAATTTTGGTAGATCAGTGATCTTATCAACCTCAGCAAAGATCTAAAAATCAGCCGCTGTCCTCTTCTGCCCTGCAGTGAGAGGTTTGACCGACAGACAAGCCCATCAGGTCATGTTAACGATGGTCAACCCACTGTTGCCAATTCAACAACTTCTTGCTACATTTAGCAACATTTCAGACAAAAATCATTATTGGCCAAATTTGGAATTGGAAGGTCAGGATTTTTAAAGATCGATAATCAGCGATCTGCCAGACAACTGCAGTCAGTGCTCCTCTACCTGTATTACAAAAATAATTCCTTTATATCGACACATCTTGAATATATGACAAGACATTTTTCCATAAGTGAAATAATCCACCACTAGTATGTTTTTATTGACTTTAAACAATCTCCTATATCCTGTTTAAAATGTACTTCTAAGTTACATTTGTCTTATTTCAAGTGTACTAAGATATTTGGATTTGAAAGTTGATCAAAATACTTAGTAAAATTTTGTGTTTTTGAAGTGCAGGAGCTCTGATCGATCCAATCAGAGGTTCTGACTTCAGTCTCTCAGATTATCAAGCTGCTTCAAGTATCTGTAAAAACCTCCGTCCAGCATTTCTAACGTCCAAACGTCTGATTTCATCCAGTTGATGTCCGCTCTGCTCATGTCAAATGTCTCCTGTAACTGAGTCCAAGCTGTCAGAATAAAGTGAAGAATCCTCCACACTCAGGAAGTCTCTTTCTTTAACTGATTATCAGTAAAGAGATCATTAAGTTAGGAAGCAAACTGATCAGACCATCATCATCCTCAACCACACCCCAACTTCTATGGATCAGTTCTGGTTTCTAGGAAACACATCAGGACTTTTTCCTAGACAATCGGCTGAACTTTTCCTGCAACTAACTGTACGCTTTCTTTCATATGACTATTAGGAAAAAAATGAAATAAAATTATGAGAATTTACTTCTTACTTCTCTAACATAAAAAGCACTTCTGGATCAGTTTATTTTCTGTGTGCATGCTCTATATTCGCCAACTCTTAATTCATGAAAGCTTGGAGAAATGCAGACTCGATTTTTATCAGACCTGAAGCATCGGTTTCATGATGGCTCTGTGGGAGACGGAGCAGAAGAGTTTCAGGATAAAAACACAACTTGGACATTTTAAAAACACTCAGGTTTATTGAGAAACACATGGTGTTGTGATGGCAGTGTTAAAGCTGGTGGTAAAAACATAAACAAGGACTCATTTAAGAACTGGAGCCTGAAATTCACTCCTTACAGTGTGTGTTTAACGTTGGGGGATTTTACAAGCATGACTTAAAGTATATTCAGCTTTTTGTCTCTTTATCTTCCTAGTTGTCATTTTATCTAAACATTTAGCTAAAATTATATATTAAATATTTAGTAGCTAAATATTTAGTTTACCCTCTAAATATTGGTAAACTCCCAATATTTAGTAGTTTAGGTGCTAAATATTAGCAAGCTAAATATTAGCAAGCTAAATATTAAAGTTTGTAAACTAAATCTAAATTAGCTTGCTAATTAAATATTTAACTTGCGTATAAAATACAAAATCGGATGCATTTTGTCCATGAAGGCTCAGAGAGGAATCTGATGTGATCAGCTTCACGTCTAAATGAGTGAACAGGGAGAATGTGGAGTTGGATCGGCAGGTCCAGATCTGTGAATGTTCCTGAAGGACCCAATCGATCCATTGATCTTATTATCAGCCTTTACCTTTAATCCAGGTCCAAGCTTTGGCCAGCTATCTGATCGAATTCTGCTATCAACGACAGAAAACCTGAGGGAAAGTCCAGGGACTGTCTGGTTCTGGGCTCAGAACAAATCTCAGTTCAGACCATCCATTAAAGGGCCAGTATTATGTTTTTTCCAGGCACATGGTGCCAATTTGTAGCATAATCAAGTATGTGACCTTCAGTTGTTATAAAAATTATTATTGGCAACATTTTTATACATTTTTATCAGCATTGCGGTGATCAGTAGCTAATTTAATGAGCTCAGCTTATGCACAGTTTTACCAGGTGTTTGCTAATTGCTACTGGCTAGTCTGAAGGAGCCGCAGTGAAGGGCTTCTTTGTAATGCAAGAGCTGGGAAGCTTACACTGAAATAAGAAAACAGGTGATCCAACTTAAGAATTTTTTTTTACAAGTAATCAAATTGAGTTTATTCAACTAAATATATTTAATATCTTATGTTGAACAGACGTAAATAAATTAAGTTTGACGATTTTACTTTGATTACAAGTAGTGAATTAAATGTTTTAAAAGTTGGAGCTCCATTCTCTGTGTAGAAACTGCTGCTGTAGGGAGGAGCTTCGCCCAGGAAGGCAGGGCTAGGTCCACCCAGGTGTTTTGCATAGCTGAATGGTTGCCATGGAGATTAAAGGATTTCTCAAACATGCATGAAAGAATCAAAGCAACACTCCATGTATATTTTTGATTGGGGAATAATATTATAAAATGATGAAAAGGTAAAAAAGTTGATTTTACATGATACTGCCCCTTTCAGTCAGTGGAGGTCAGGGAACGGTTTGGGGTAGCTGAACATCAGGTAGTCCCTGTAGTAAAACTCAAACACCTTCTGCCTCTCGGTGCGGTTCAGCTGGGAGAAATAATCCTGCGTGATTCTGGACGAGGTCCGCTTCGCCCGCGGGTTCCTGTCCTTGAAGTCCGGGAAGGTGAGGTTTCCCGGAGCGCCGATGCCGCGCAGCAGGAAGTCGGCGTCCTCCTGCAGGCTCTCGATCTTCCCAATGAAGTCGTAGTGGATCAGACACGGGCTGCAGAGCTGGCTGACCCGCTCCCAGTGGATGTCCATCCCTACGGGTCGCTGCGCGTCCAGCAGGTACTGAACGAACTCCCTGAAAGTGACGCCGGCGCCGGTTTTCAGAGCCGACCCTGAGGCGTTGGCCCGGTACCTGGAAATGATGGCCCGTCCGAACACGGGATGATAGTAGGAGTTCGGACTTTCAAACTTGTCCCGGAAGGCCGAGACGAGCCGCTCGAAGGGCTCCCTGACGAACAGAACCTTGGTGTAGGTTCGGAGTCTCTCGGCGATACCGGCCCGATCGTAGCTGTCCAGCCGCCGCAGCTGGTTGCTGTAATGAGCTGCATCGTGAGGAATATCCTGAGTGGATCGGGCTATGCCTGCCAGAACCATCAGGACCCGTTTCCAGTTGGAGCAGCCGGCTTTCGGCACCTCACAGTACAGCAGCCGGAACCGGTCCTCCACGTAAAGCCGGGACACCTGCTGCAGCCTGACCCGCTGCTTTCGGCGGACCGGCTGGTACTTAGAGCAGACGCCGTTCAGCTGGCGGTGCCGAGTCCGCTGCGTCCTCAGTGCCGTAGAACCTCCAGAGGGGGCGCCCTTCAGCAGCAGCTTCCTGTGGCGCTTAGTGACTGGCTGCTTGTTGCCTAGCAACGGGTCTGAACAAAGATGGAGGACAGGCGGGAAGCCGGGGAAAAGTCCAGCAGAGATGTCTTTAGTTTGCCAGGACGGAACCTGAAACACAGAACAGAACCACAACCAGAGTAAAAACCAGATGCCAGAACTTCTGATCCAGAGTGAAACTGCAGCAGGAACTTAAGAGAGTTTTCACACCTGACAGTCCAGTAGACCCAGTTTGAAACTAAAACGTTTGTTACATTTTCAGCTACTGCGCTTCGCTTTCACGCTTCACTGTGTCAAATAAACTAAACTCTTAAAAAAAAAAAAAAAAAAGTTCCCCCCCTCCCCTGGGGTGGCGCTGCACCAAGAACCACTGAAGGAAACAACACAAAAACCTACGAAGACACCGACCGTAACTTCCTTCTTGACCAAACGTAAACAAAATAGAGTGGCGTTAGATCTTATGAAAATAGTCAAAATAGTATGAGAATAAAGTCATTATGAGAATGAAGTAATTTGAGAATAAAGTCGTACGAAACTAAAGTCGAAATAATACGATATTAAAGTAATTTTAATATTAATACAATTGTAATTAAGCTACGACTTCTATCTCTTATTATTTTAACTTTATCCTTGTAATGCTACTTTATTCTCAGTTTTATTTTTCTTTATTTGTTATGCCCAATACTCCATCGTACTATACATACATATTTAGGTTGTACAGATATTCAGCATCTTGCCGCAGGAATTGCACAAAAATGTCAAAATTCCCCCAGAAACGTAAAGAACAATAAATAACCTATTAATTTATCAGTTTTTGATGCTGCTGTAATGTTGCAGATATCCAGCAGGTGGTGCTGTGGCGCCATAGTTACCTTCCGTTCAGGCCACGTCGGAGCCTCCAGGACAGGAACACCTGAAACAGAAGAACAGAGAGTTGAATATGTCTGAATTTTAGCTGTTGCTCTTCATGTCTGCGTGACGGAGGCTCTGTCTGGTTCTGGTTCGGTGTCAGTGAGTCGTTCTGATGAAATAAAAATGAAGCTGCAGAGGTTCTGCTGCCTCAGTGATGTGACAACGCACATTCTCTAAAAGCTCTCTCATGATACTTTCCAGTCACACTGGCAGATTTTCAAATATTCATGAGGCGAACATCAATAAAACATGGATGGAGGGGATGAGGAAGGTGGAGAACAATTTAATTCTTCAGGAGGAATCATCCAGAACCATCCACAGGAACCATATTCAGAACAGAACCGGACCAGCATCACATCCTTATTTTACAGCTACAGATTTTCTATTCCACACATTTTACTTCACATGCTCTATTCTACATGCTATGTGACCCATTAAGTGTTATGTTGCAGTATAATTTACTCATATTTATAAACAGAGGCCCTGAATTATTTTACTAGATTCTGTTATGAGACTAAATTAATTATAAAAAGATAAACGTGTTACTTGTCTACAGATTAAAGGAATAATAATGTTTAAAAAACACAGTTTCGTTTAAAAGAGCATTGAAATCTTTTTTATTATTATTTAAATCTCGGTTTATGTGTAATTTGTAAAAAATGTGACATCTGACCAACTTTGTGATATTACATGTCAATTATAATTTATTAATTATTATATGTTAATGTTGAAATGTCTTATTTTTGTGTCAGTTAGGAAGATTTAGTAACCACTTCGCTGGAAACTATCGTGGATCCTAATAAATATTAACTTGCACATGTTCTGCTCCACATGTTGTACTAATTTGTAACAGCTTCACAATTTCTGTTCTACGTTTTCCGCTGCACATGTTCCAATCCACAATTTCTTCTTCACATTTTGTATTAATTTGTACCAGCTCCACATGTTCCAGCTGCACATATTATCCGCTTCAAATGTGCACAATAAATTTCGAGGTGGAACATCTGAGGCAGAAAATGTGCCGGGTTCACATGTTCTGTTAAACATATTCAATTTTGTATCTGCACATGTTCCATCTGCACATGTTCTGCTCTACATTGTGTATTTGATATTTTCTGCTATTCGTGCTGTTTTGTAAATGTCCTGCTCCACATGTGCTGGGTTCACATGATCCGTTAGACATATTCCATAGCACATTTGCTCCAGGTGCACATGTTTCTTCTTCACATGCTCTATCCACATTTTAGTCCTTATAATTTGCTTTAGATGCTGTGTTTATTTGTATGAGCTCTGGATGTTTCAGTTTCCCTCTGCGATGAGGTTTTGACCCAAGTGCTGCAGAAACATGAGAAAAACCTTCATGTGACTCTGCAGTAGCAAACCAGGAAGTGACGAGTTGCTGTTAT